TGATTAATAACTCTTAAGGTGACTTGAATATTAATGATGAAAAAGAAGAAAATGAGAGAGATTAAATTAGAGCTCATAGATAGGCAGAATTAGATTTAAGCACCAAAATAAACATGAGGAGAATAAAAACAAATATTTTAATAAATAAAAAAAGTTTAAAAATTCAGATTACAATACGGAATTGACTTATTGGTAAAATTACCTAATGGCATTTTTATGACTAAAAAAATCTATTTTGGTAAGAATTCATGTGTATATACTATTTAAGTCATCACAATTATGTCGAATAAATTATTTTTTAATTTATTTTGAATTAGATTAATATAATTATTATCAATATTTTATTATTATTTAATCTGGATGAATGCGTATGTTTATGATGTTGGTTAATGTTAAAAAAATTTATCAATTTTTATACAAATAAAATTTTATTTTCATTTGTATATTTTTTTAAAAAAATAATTTTAATATTTTGATTTTTTATTATGTATAATTTTTAAATTATTTTATATATTTGAACATATATTTAAATTAAATATATTGACCGACCCAAGAAGTCTTGATATGATTCCTAAATGAATTCAGATAACACTGAATTTGAGCTTACATAAAATAGGAATTTGTTACAAATAAAGTATTTTCATAAATTATGAAAATACAATATGTCCTTCCACAATAGGCTAAGATTATCATATAATTGGTGAAATTTCCTTATCAATTATCTAAGTTGTTCTATATATTTTGGATTGATCATCGATTTGAGAGATGAGTAGTACTAAGCACATAACTTTAGTTCTGATGTATTCTCTCGTAATCTTCTTCGTAAAGTATAAAGAAATCTAAAGCCTCAATTAGAAATAATCTAAAGTCTTATTATTTTATCAATATTGATAGGGTATATTTTGACTCTATATGAACCACCGACAAACGCTTCATACCGTCGCGATACCGTACGCCTCCAGAACCGCAGGGTGCACACCACGTCAAGCTCCAACGGTGCGACTGTGCGGCCTGATCACCCTAAGAGTTGGGGGCGGTGTCGTATGCTGTTAGGACAATGTCATCTGATGCCGCTCAAGCACCCCCGAAGATGTCATCTCGTCAGAGAGGTTGTTTCGCCCGCAAAGCCAACAGCCATACCGGACCAGGGCCCGACCAATTCCCGCATGCAGGTATACCCGACCTGATCCAGAAAGAGAGGGAGAAAAAGATCAATGGATCACTCCATTGACTTGCTCATCAGAGGGGCCTCGTCGGGTGATCCCGACGAGGACCATTTTTACAGAAAAATATAGCCACCTCACGAAGACGAGCTGCCAACCACCCCGGAGAAGGAGAGACGCCACTCGACATTCATAGCGCCCAGATCAGCGCACCAAGGAACGTTTATCAGCACCTCGTCGTGAGGGCCAGATCGACCTCAGCATCCAGCTCAACCGATAAAAGAACTCCTGATATTGACCCGTGGACCGGGCTGTGCTAACTCATCCAACAAATATATAAATTTATAAATCTATCAAAACAAATATGAACCAAACTTAATACAATACAATAAAGATAAAAGAAAAATAGAAGACTAAATGACAGCCGATTTATGTTGTGCTGATTCAATAATCAGAATGGATCAGATTGTGAACTCGATTCCTGTCTGGTTCCGATTCGATCGAGCCAGATGATTAAGTTCATAATCGAATCGAAATCCAAATCGATTCAAGTCAAATTGGATGTTGCTTATTATAATCCGACTAAATCATAATCGAGTAAGACCAACAGAACACTATGCCCATTAAGGCTTACTCCACAGAGTCCATTATTTATTTTCATGAACCAATGATAGCACGTGCACGGCAGTGTTATTATCTTATAACATCAAACATAAAGAAGAGTCACATGAAACACAATCGGCACATATTTAATCTGCTACTAAATATTTCCTTACCTGCAACTGAACTGGTCTGCCTTTACTCGCTCACGTACGTCATAACTACTTCAAACCCGTAAGCACTGCGGCTCGATTGGCCCAAAACACACACTTAATTTTCTATTACTGTATTGCATATTCGTATCCATTATTGATATCCTTCTATTATTAATCCAATAAAAAGTTCGACTTATTGCAGAGAATTTAATATCACCATCACACTACAACAAAGAATCGAAGCAGAATACACTCAAAAAAAGGGGGAAAAAAAAATATGACAAGTATATAAGAACGATTGTACGCATTAAAGGACACATCTTGATTTCGATCAGATTATATATAACCTTATTATTAAATCAATTCGGGTAAATTAATAAAACGTAAATTGAAAATATAAAAGGATCGAAATGCAAAATGACAACACAACCCGAGAAAAGGGGGAAACGAAATCCGTCACGAGTACAAATCAGGATGGTTTAGGGATTGACATGCAAATCGCAAATCAAGAGGAAAATTAAGGGAAAAATTCCAAATTGGGTAGAGGATAAAAGCAGCGTAGAAAAGATACGAGGAATATGAGGGGAGATGGCTGCTCCGACTCTTCTCTTTAGTCCAAGCGAGTAGAGAGAGAAGCCAATCGAACAGAGCTGTGCCCCAACTCGCTTCATCCTCTTGTTGGATCTCCGATTCCGACTCCCCGATGAGATTTCCATATCGCTTCCTGTACTAGATTTTGATCTTAGGCCTATCGAATGCTGGATTGGGACTCTTCGATTATGGATCCCAGCAGAGCAGCGTCCACGCCGAGCCACGGCCCGCCCGATGACGGCGGAGGCCCCGCGCCCGAGTTCCCGGCCGGCCTCCGGGTGCTCCTCGTTGACGATGACCCTACCTGCCTCAAGATCCTCGACAGGATGCTCCGCAAGTGCCTCTACGACGGTAACGCAAACCCGTGGCTCCTAATCTTAGCGTTTCGCATGATTGAGGCATAGTCCGTGCTTTTGATGTGCAGTGACGACTTGCTCGCGAGCAGCGCTGGCGCTCTCCATCCTCCGCGAGAAGAAGGGATGGTTCGACCTGGTTCTCAGCGATGTGTACATGCCGGACATGGACGGGTTCAAGTTGCTCGAGCACATCGGATTGGAGATGGATCTTCCTGTCATCAGTCAGTATATCTCTTCCTTGATGATTTGTGAGTTGGATGTGAACTCAAGGAGTCGTATGTTTGACTCCTCGTCTGTTGTCTTCTCGTTGATGCACAGTGATGTCCGCTGATGACCACAAGGATGTTGTCATGAAAGGTGTCACACATGGAGCTTGTGATTATATCATAAAGCCGGTTAGGATGGAATCGTTGAAGAATATATGGCAGCATGTGGTGAGGAAGAAAAGGAATGAATTGAAGGAGTTGGAGAATTCTGGGAGTGTGGAGGAGGACGACAAGCACAAGCGAAGTCTGGATGATGGGGATAATGCTTCCTCTGGGTGTGTCGGGAATTGGAAGAATGCAAAGAGAAAAAAGGAAGAGAAGGACGAGGAGGAGGAAGAGATGGTTGAAGAGCATGATGACTCTTCTAGTACGAAGAAGCCAAGGGTTGTATGGTCTGTTGATCTCCACCAACAATTTGTGACTGCTGTCAATCAATTGGGTGTTGACAGTAGGTTCTTTTCTCCTTATATTATTGATACCATATCCTTAATTCTTAATTTATCATGTCTCCGAAAATATTGTTTGTGAATATGGTTTTTAATCAAACTAGCATTAATAGACATCGACTTTATAAAGTTCATGGTTTCAGTATACAGGTCTATAGAGAAGGTAAACCAAAAAGTTTTCTTTTCTGGTCAGGTTGTTCACTGATCCATTAGTTGGATATCGACAAATATAATGTCATCGTGAACACCTGTTGGCTGTTTGCAATTAATTTACTTCGAAAACAATTGTATATGTACTTAATATATATATCTTTCCTCCTTGTAGAAGCTGTTCCAAAGAAAATTCTTGAGTTGATGAATGTGGCTGGACTTACTAGGGAAAATGTTGCAAGTCACTTGCAGGTATGTGTACAAATTTTCTTGTGTCTTAGCTAGTCGTTTTTCACATCTCTTTTCTTTGTTTACCATGATCTTATACATCATTTATTTTTCTGTTGTCCAAATTCCATGATAAGCAAACAGAAGCTAGCGGAAAAATAATGTATTTCTAAGATTTAATGCATATTTTCATAAAACAATAACTTGCAAAGTGGTGCAAATTATAATTGAAGTTGATTCAATAATTTTAATAGCAATTTAAAACATCTAACATAAGCACAAATGTTTCTCGTACAATGAGAAGGACAAGACAATGAGAGAGAGAGAGAGAGTATTAGATAAAAGCAACAAAAGAATGTTTACATGTCTTAACTTTTGGACCCTGATAAAAGAGATTTGATTTAGACTATGGATGTAAATGACTCTTTCAAGGCACAATATTGAGAATGCCCCTTTGTGTATCTAAAAGACAGTTCTCTTTTCTTACAAGTTACAACTGTGTGTTTTATTCCAGATCAATCAATTATACAGACATGAAAATAATGAAATTGCTATAATAAAAAATCATAGCGAGAATTTTTTGTCATTGAGTTTGTGATTTGGAAAGCAGTAGATGATATCATCATTTCCTGTACATTATGATGTTGCATGAGGAAGTCTCCACAATTCAGCTCCATTTTTCAGGAAACATCCAAAGTTTTTAACTCAGGTTATAATCTAAAGGATTAATCATTTCATTTTTGTAGTTTCTTTTCTATTAGTGAAAAATGTGTTGATTGCTTGCCTTTTTAATCTTTCCGTTGGTCAACTCCCTTTGTTCCTACCTAACTGGGGAGAGCACTTAGTACTTCTTCACTATGGATCTTATTATTTGGTGTGGGTTCATAGAAAAAGTATGTTATCTACCAACTAATCCTCCAAAGACATGGACAAGTGGGATGTAGGAACCACTTCCATTGAAAATCAGATCCTTTTCTATGGTAAGATAGGGTCCACTCTCCTGTCCCTCCATGGAGCATCTTATTCGTTTTGTAGTCTATCTGGTGTAATCCAGTGTTGTCATGGGTGCTCGCCTAGGCACCTGGGCAAGGCGAGGCGAGGCCCAAGCACCTCAAAATGTCTCGGGTGAGGCATTTAGTTTGGGCATAGCTTAGGTGCGCACCTGGGCCTAGGCTCTTCTGGCCCAAAACACAAATAACTGAGCTTGAGTTGAACCTGAACTAATGGTTCAGTTCAACTAAGCCAAATAACTTAACATGATTTGTATAATGTCCAAAGCCTTATTGTTAGTATTAATTTGTTAGACTAATTATTTTAACTAATATTTTCATTTTGAAAAAAATTAGAACAATCATTTGGAGGGATTTTGTAACGTGGAATAATGAGCTCTTCTCCAACTTCTAGTTGTGCCCCTCGGGCACATCATTGAAGTGATCAGTGAAGTTTCTTGTTCCTCCTGTCTTTCTTCTCTCTCTGTCATTTCTCTCCCTCTGTTCTCTTGTTTTCTCTCCCACAATTCTCTATTGGTGAAAAAGCCAAATATCATCTTATTCATTTCTAGCAAAGCAACTATTGTCGTATATATTTCTAGTACATCAAATATCATCTTATTCATTTATAGTTTATGGTTTCAATGTCAACTAGGTGTTTTATTAACTCCTTGAAGATTCCAAATGCTTTTTATCAATGCAAGATGCCAAGAAGGCAATATCAAATCCTTTGTAGCAACAACCCAACAGATTGGAGCTATAAAGGAAACCGAAATTGTTCTCTCAATAGTTGAGCAACATCTTCAAATCAGAATTAAGGAGAGCTTTTTTCACTTGGAAAGACATGAAAAATAACATTTTTCTCCCCCATCTGCATGTGAAGGAGGAAGTTAAATAATCCAAATTTGGTCTGTGACCTAGAAGACCCTGATCATCACTTGAAAACAAGGTAGGTGTGAAGGGTGATGATGTGAAACTATTTTGATTTTAATCACTTAACAATTGTATTAGTCTAGGGCTCTTTTGCAAATATCATAAGTTGTCATATGACAATCTTCTATGATCCGACATTAGTTATCAATAAAAACAATAAGGAGACAAATCTTAGTCTCTATTGACAATTCTTAGGATTGATGGGAGATTCGATCCCTACAAGGAAGTTTACTATGGTTGTTTATTTTACTAAAAAAGTCTATTAATCAAAGATCTTATTAGGAAGTTTATTTGCCAAAACAAATATGCAAATCTATCTTCCACCCAAAAAGGAAAAAAGATATTTCTTTCCACTTTTTGTACCTAAAGGGTTTGGAAAAAGGGGGGAAAGAGGCTATAACTTGGATGATCCGATGATAACTGAATGAATGGAAATATATTTTCCTATAATATTTGTTAATGGTGTGATTTTTCCAATGATATAATTTTATTGTCCATATTTACGATAGATAGAGGTGTGAGACATTCATCACTGAGAGTTAAACCCTGAGCTGACTTGAATATATTATTTATCCTTCTTTTGATCTTATTTGATATCTTTTTGTTTTTATTCCACAACTATACCCCATATAAGAGAAGTATTTTTTTGTTTGGTCTTCCACGTGTCTGTCCTATATCATAATGGTATAGAGCTCTCATTCTATATCAGATTTGGTATTAGAGTTCTTATCCTACATCCTCTGTGATGTAGGATGAGAGCGACAAAATATATTTTTTTGATAATAGAGGAATATAAAAGAGAGGAATAGAAGATAGTAACTGAAAAATAATAGAAAAACAAAGTGATAAGTACCAGAGCTGCTCTGGCTCAGGGAGGACACTCCCAGGATGAAGGCCTCACAATTTCGCACGTCTTGCACGTAGACGATGGAATCATGCTATTAGAAAACAAATGTGGCCTCACACCACTCACACTCAAGGTGGGAAAAGAACTTATTTCATTGATCCATTTCCGATTGATTTATATTACAATGTTCTTGCCCCTTTTTATAGGCTAAGTATAAGAAAGGAAAAGAAAAATGTAAAAGTAAATAATTTACAATTGAATAAAAAAAAATATATGATTTGATCTTTCTTTCGAAGAGGATAATATTCTTGATTGATATGCTTTCATCTTCATAGAGATCAATCTTCACAAAATCTTCCATCAAGATTTGAAATCTTCAATCACAATCATAATTTGATTTTCTCAAATTCTTTCATATTTTCTTCTTCCTTGAGTAAACTAAGAAACTAGATTAGAATTATTCAGTATGTTGTCATGTGGCAACTTATGATATGCAAAATAACCTATAAACTAATCAAATTTATTTAAATAAGAGATTGATAAGATTGGTTCCACATCACCCTGCGTTTCCTAAGTCCATTTAGACATACGCATACTCAAACCAAAATTGAGTGATTGAGAGGTATAGATTTGGTCACTTTATCTACCAAGTGGTTTAGTTTATGTTACAGATACTTGATCTTTATCTTAAATATCAGATTTGAATCAATGTTCTAACTTGACAAACTCAAATAAGGACATATTCACATGGTAAGTCCTTTTTAGTATTCATCATCATCAGCATATGATGGAAGAGGCTAAAGGAGGCCAGCCATGTTTAGATTCAATCGGGCCATATGGTTTATCTTAAACAGCCACTATGTGATTGAATATTCTCACATCGGCCTTCACGACACCTTGGATGCCTCCATGGATGATGGTAGAGCTTGTGCAGGAATTTGCCAACTTTGGAGATACTTTGACAGGTTGACTAGTCATTTGTCTCTTCCTACTTAACCTGGAAAAGAGTAAGGTTTAGTCTTACGTTGGCTAGATCAGCCCAGCTGCTGGATTTTTCTCTGAGTGCCCCAGACCAAACCAGAGAACCTAATATGACACCTGATTGCCTCAGGAGAAGGCCATAATACAAGAGAGGTTAATCATCTTTGTACCAAGATAAGAAACTTTTCTTATAGTTTTCATGCATATTTATTACTGTATTACATTGATGTTATAAAGGTTCTCTAAACCAAGGTCTGCCATACCGAAGCGTACCGCCCGTACCGGGCGGTATGTACCGGTCCGACAGGTTACCGGTACGCGAACCGTCCGGTACCGCTACAGTGCTACAGTACTATACTGTAGCACTGCTATAGTATGAAAAAGTATAAAATTGTTCGGTACACCAGGGTGTACTGCTCGGTACGCCCTGATGTACCGCCTGGTACACCAGTACCGTACCGAGCCCGGGTCGAAACGCCGGTATGGTACGGTATGGCGAGCCTTGCTCTAAACCCCTAATTATCATCAAATTAGTGTCCAAAACCTTGATGTAATTATTTTTCTATTAAAACTTGTATTCTGAAATTTCTAAAATAATCTTTTAGAGGGATTTGTAGGTGACAGGAATAGCTCTTCCTCGTCCAACTCTTAAAAATGTATGGTTGGGATTCCTTGGGTATATCATTGAAGTGATAATACAGTCTTCTCTTTCCTTTATCTTTCCTCTCTTTTCTTCTTGTCTTCTTTCTCATCCTAAAAGTCTCTCCCAAATGTTACACTCTACCCTTGAAGTAAGGTGAAAGTTGATAAAATGTGACACATTATATCAATTTGGTATCAAAGTCAGTGCATCTTGTGATATCTTCTTTGGTGATATTCCATGACTTGGCAACGACTTTCCACAAGTTTGATGGATAGGCTGCTACCCACCACAATCATGTTCCCCCATTCCCTGACTACAAAGGCTTGAAGGAAAACTACCATTAGTAACTGTTTCCTTTCCTAGCGCCAATCTGCTTCAATGAGTTATTTTATTCTATACCCCAGTGCCAATGTTGACCTTGCCATGAGAGAGAATTATTAGCCTAAGAATCCACCTGGAATTGTTGACCAAAGATTTGCATAACTCCAGAGTCTACACTGCTGTACCAACAATATTATGGGGTGTTCAACATCACTTATTGTATAGCACAAGTCCGGAAAGGAGTGATCCATGGTAATGAAGTAGAGGTCAAAACCATGGTCGTTTGGGTAAGTTCGATCAGTCTCTCTAACTGATTAGTTATGATGATTCTGTTCTTCAGAGGCTTTTATACAAGAACTTATATTGTTGCTTAATTCATTCATTTACCAATAGTACATGCAGGGTCCTTAAACACATGCTTTTTACATTTCCTTTCTCTGTGTTGTTGTTCTAAGATATATTTATTGTCATTTGATACTTCAACAGAAATATCGCTTGTACTTGAGGAGAGTAAGTGTGCCACAGCATCACGGCAGATTTGATGCACATTTTGCAAGTGCCCAGGAAGTAACTTATAATAATTCAATTGGTTCAGTTAGTGGATATGATTTTCAAGCTCTTGCTGCTTCTACTCAGCTTCTACCACAAAATATAGCAGCTCTACATTCAGGTCCAAGAAGTGCTACAAATACTGGCATGGGGGTGTCTGCTATTGATCAACTCAGTTTTCTTAGTTCTGGTAAACAAGTTACAAACTCTTCAAACATAATATCTTCATCCGTGCAGCAAATAAACAGCAGACAAATGAGTGACGTCCATGGACCCTCCAACAATATTGAGTTAAACCAACTTGGGCAGTCACAGCAAGTGGTTCAACCATTTGGAAGTATTAACCAGCAATTTGGGGAAGGAACTACAAATCTTTTTAGTTTACCATCTTCAGAACTAACCAACTTCTCATTACCTAGAGGTACCATCAATGAACAACTGAACAATTCTTTAGCCAGGCACATGAATCAGCATGGACAACAATTTCCTATATCTCAGCAAAGGAGCAATATGGATATCACATTGCAAGGACTGCCACGATCAAGGGGACAATTACTGACTGAAACTGCCTGTCATGATTCTAGACTTGTGTCAGCCTTATTGCAACAAGTACCTCCCAATAATATTCCAAATCATGTCTCTGGACGGCTCGAAACCAGTGCAAATATGCTTACATCCTTGCCTGCCAACTATTTGAATGCTTCATGTAGTACGTCTCCCCAAGCTCTCTATCCTGATGTACATAATAGCTTCATAACTGGATTACCTGGAAGTTGCTATCGTTGTGTAAGCAGCAAAGGAGCTACACCACAGACAGGAAGTGTCAAAGCATTAAGCAACAGTAGCAACCTAAAAGGAATGGACAACCATGTTCCAAATTTTGATATTATTGGTGAACATCATCAAAACAAAAGCCAAGATTGGAAGTTGCAAAATGTAAATCTCCCATACCAGTCAGGCCAAAACCTTGGTCATGGGCAAAGCACTATTGACTGTTATTCTTCACTGATGGGTAATCAAGATTCAACTAGTACTGCCAAAAATGGGTTTAACGGTAATGCTGGAACAGTCACGAAGAATATCATATCAACAAGAAGTGACATTGATATGGAGAAAAGAGAATGCATTGTTCAGCACAAAACCAACCTAGTGGAGAACTGCAACAGAGTAAATTATGATGGAATTCCAGATCTCAGTTATCAAGATATTCTTTTTGAAGACAATATTATTACAAATGAACTCATGAATGTTGTTCGGAAACAGGTTAGCTTCTTAAAATCCAACTAATGTGATATATTCCCCCTAAAATAAATGCATTTAAGTTAGTGAAGTGTTTTCATGTATTGATCTAAAATTTCTATGATTATACTCATCCAAACCTATTTGACATAATCAAAAAGACAGTTTATCGCTTAATGCAACCATCATGTAGTTTGAGCAGATTCTCAAAGGTAAAGACCTAAATGTCAATACTTTTATGTTGTGGTGGCACCAAAATAATATAACTTGAAAATCAGTATTAGACATACAAGTGCATGCACCGTGTATCAGAAGATCTCATCTTCTTCATGCAGGCTCTATGCAGTATACAAGTGAGGTTTATTAGAGATTAGATCGCCTTTTAATGGTGCAATATATGCATGTATCTCTACTTTTCACTTTGAGGTTTATTAGGAGTTTAGATCGTCTTTCTTATGGTACATTATATGCATGTATTTCTATTCTCACTGAGTATGAGAAACTTAAAATTGTGTGTAGGATATGTAATCAAGTTTTTTATCTAGTTTGGTAGATAAATCATAGAAATTTTTTTTGGCTTGTTGAGTTTCAAAACTTTTAAAGCTCATTGTGATTACTTTTTACATCATCTTATATAATTAGAGTTAACAAATTCATGTGAAGCATGTTGAGATATAACCAAGGATTATAATTTCCATCAGACTAGTATGTGAACCTAACATGTGACTGGGCAATTTGGCCAAGCCTAGTGTACCACTTGGTATCGTTTCTGGTATTGAGATATACTGGACGATAAGTCTACAGCTCCGTGCCAACACCCTCTCCACCTGTTTATCTCTTCCTCACCGAATTCCATCTTTCTTCCCTCCTTTCTCACTAGTAGTTTCCTTTTTTCTTTTTGTCTTGATTATGCATATTGCATGGCTTTCACATCAAATGTTTTAAATGTCTTGGATTTGGAGCCTTTTCTCTCTTGCTACCAAATTAAGGTGTGAATCTTGCTGCTACATTTATTACATTTTTTGTTATTTAAAGATGTTTTTTTTTTCAGCTTAGGTCTTAAATTTCCTGTTTCAAGCATGCAATGTTGTTCAATCAAGGTTGGATCAAAAAGTATTTCATGTAGACTCATTTAAATGCAAGTCAAATTCATGTGAGTGACCTAGGTCCATGAAGAAGCAATCTTGATCGACATAAATATTGCAAAATTTGGTGTGAATCCCCGTAAGATCTGTGTAGATCCTTATAAATCTAGGTATTTTCTCCACCACTATGTAGATATTTCAATTAGTCATGAATTTATTTCTTAAATTTTGTTAAAAAAATGAAACTGAAGCAGCAAAATGTTGATCCTATGTGGTAGGAGGCCTACTTCTTGGATGATAGTGTGTCTCATGATATATCGTGTTGTGGTACTGAGAAAGAGGGGGCGGGCAGGGGGGTTAAGGACAAGTTTGAAGAGGACGAGGAGAAGAAGAAGAGAAATTGATAACAACAGAGGTCTATCTCCATTATAAGATCTCTTTAAGGCTATGTTGCCTAAAATTACACAGAGATAAGGAAGAACGTGAATCAAATTCAGTTGATACCAATGATTTGAATATCGTACCATATCGCTCGGTATGGGTGATATCAGATATCAGGTATTTGGCCTGGTGTCAGGCGATACGGGGCTGTACCAGGCGATAATGATCGAAATTTCAATCATTACCGACCTGTACCGGGCGATAACGGTCGAAACCGATCGTTACCAAATGGTAACAATATTCCAACGGTCAACCTCAAGGTTTTTTGAACCCTTTCCTCCCTCCTATTTCATTCCATTTCATCCTCACATTCTTTTAAAATCTCTCAAACTCATTTTTCTCACATTCTCTCTCTTATTCTCACATTTTTATTCTCCTAAACTCAACAAAACAATGAATTGTGGATTAAATCAAATTTAGGAGGATTATGAGGAAAAACTTTTTAATCAAGAGGTCTCGTCTATACAATTTGAGGGTGGTGCATAGACCGAGGAGCAGTATTTTACACATTCTACCCAAGATTCAAATCATGGAACTCGACGAGGTACTAGTCAAGTTTATGCACGTATTATGGAGAATCTTACGGCTAATAGCAGTACGGTGATAGTTGGTCATACTTCTTCGAGCAATAGTATAATACGGAGTAGCAAATCAGTAGCGAAAGTAGAAGTTCTGATATTCACCAATACATGCCTCGGGAGTCGCTTCAAACACATGTATTCATGACTATCAACCTACGACCATCACCACATTGATGCACCAATAGCATATGGTGTATCAATAAACTATGTCATGAGATTAATTTTAGGATTAGGTTCGACAAACATATCATATTGATATTCAGATACATAAGATTGAGGACCTCGATCCACTACCCATGGAGGTTTGTCGTGTAGAATCAAGTATATCTGTATGTGATTTCTTAATTCATTTGTATTTTAATGTTTAAGTTGTATACAAAATAATCGAACAATTTAAATAATTTTTCTATAGATAATTTAATATTAATGGAAGGACGATCCGGAAAAGATCGAAATTACGGACCCTACACAAGGCTACTCCTCAAAGCCCAAAAAAGATATGTGGCACTATTCTTACCTAATTTATATTAGTTTTGTTAAAATTATACTAAATATATATTTATTTTTAACTTAAAAACTTTATCCTAACTATTTTTTTCTATTTTTCATATATTTTCGAAGGGTTGTATGTCTATTTTAGGTGTATTGCGCGGTATGCCATGCCGTACCGTACCAAACAAAGCTCGATACACCGGTACGGTATTTAAAACCTTGGTTGACACTTTGTTTACTGGAATGATTCATGTCCTATGATATAATTAGATATGTGCAACAAAGAATTAGGATGATCCACTTGTTGATGAGGTAGGAGATCTACTATGTCTATCTCAGTGTATCTCAAAACAAATCGAAGTTGACCTATAGGATGAAGTAATTTGGTATGAGGACCAGGGCTACACATTAGGATATGTTCAAGATACAAAACAGTTAGCGTTTTGTGTGTCATGGTGCAAACAGTCCTTTTTTTTACAAACAGTCAATTTCAGTCATCCCTACAATGTGGCATGGGTAAAGGTCACTCATCGCATTCAGTTAATCCATTAGATGTCATTGAGAAGCGATAATTCATGGAGGATGAAGAGACCCCTCCATTTGATTCAAGTCTTTATGAGATCAACAATGATGTAATGAGGTGGATAATAGCACATCCATTAATGATGGTGGTCAGGGCCAGAGGTCTTGTGTTTCCGGCAAGCAAACGAAAAGAAGATGAGCATGAAAAAAGTAGTATTTTACTTGTACCACTTAAGATGATGATCATAACATTGAACCATTTACCAGATCAGTTAGAATAAAGACAAGGGCAAGGGTGACTTGGAAGGAAACGAGAGACAACTTAAATAAGATCAAGTCGTTAAGTTCTTTTTTGGTCACAACCTCTATACCAATGTGGTGGATTTCATGGGCACAATGTGTTTGTCAATAATTGGTCTCATTTTGCTGAGTCTGTGGCTTCATATGACTTACATGACAATATATTATTGATTGTTTACTGCTCAACAGTGATCATGGTTGCATCACATAGAACTTGTTAAATATCAACAACCATAATAGCCCTTGCCCTTCCTTCTATCTTGTTGGTTAGTACCAAGAGTAAATTTTCTGACCCAGATGCACCATTATCATTGCTATTTCGATTCAACAATGATAGCATATCAATATCAAGTGTTACGAAAGCATATCGTTTATGTAACTGTTGTGAAAGCATGTCATTCATGTGTCCAACCACATGACATTGTGGACTGGACCTAGACCCACTTCCTAGGCAATGTGTCATTCGTTTTTATGATAAGATTTGTCCCACTAGTGTAGTGTTTTAGTCCATCTATTTACGAGTTTTCGATTATCTATTTATGATGTATAGATGATATATGTATCACACATTATGTGCTAATTTGATGTATTTTTAGTTCTTTTATGTAGATGTCTTGATATTTGGTTTATGACAAGTATTAGAAACATATTTTGATTTATTATTGATATAAAAAGTTATAAAAAAGCAAAAGACTATTAAAGAGGCTTTAGGTGGTTTGGATCTGACCCTGTCTGTATCAACCAATACCAACCATACGGATACATTGTGTTATATTGTACAATGATTGATGTAGGCACTAGATTGAGACTTTGGCAGTCACTTGTTATCATTTATCATGTAATTTACAGCTGAAAAGTAAGTCAAAATATACGGAGGATGGTCTAATTTTGAGCAAACTGTAGCATTAATACCACTGAACATAACTTCATTATGTGCTAGAACAATGGAAGCATTCTCGAGTACCACACAACTTTTCTTTTAATAAGTTATTGATTAAATACAATGTTTGGATCATCATACCTCACACTGCAGTTCTTTTTGGTTTGCAGCAGCAAGAAGGGATTGGGCAGGTTGATAATGAGTTCAACTTTAACCCCCCAGTTTAGCATTGGAGTCTCTATACCATTAAGCAATTATGAATTCTTGAAGAAGCATTGGACGCTATGCCACGAAGCAATTATGAATTCTTCAAGATGATTGGAACTGTTCCATAATTAAAGATCTTAAGGGGTTCTAGAGAGTTTTCCTTCACAATTTATCTGGTAACCGCATGGAAATCAGACCATTGCCTCCAGAGAAAGGGCTTGAGGACATACTGAGTCCACACGGTCAAATCTCAACACACACGATTAGGTGTACAAAGGTAAAAGTAGTCTGCAAATGCATACATGCTAAGTTTCCAGTTTCTTTCTTAGCTCATGCTAACAAGACATCCCTCAAGTGGCGAAAGGCTTGAATTGCATTAGTTTGGTTTGGTGTGTTCTTTTGTGGATTTGGCATTAGGAGTCTCCAAATAGTCTCTTCAAAATCGAGGGGAGTATTTTCTAACTCCAGTAGTCATGTACAGGTTTCGTTTGACTAACGGAAACAAAGTGGTGTTAGTTTGTTCCCTTTTAATTTATGGCTAATCCTACTTAATTGTTTTATTCCTCCTAGTCATCCAGAACATCTATCCTTGTATTCATTTAGTTGCAATACATTGTGTAATTTAAATTGCATTAAGTTTGTGGAATGTAAACTTATCATCACTAAGCACCGGCGGATTAACAAATGTAGAACATTATCATTATTGTCAAAATTTATTATGAATCGAAGCACCGTGCTTAATACTGTTAAATGCATTTATATTGGTGTAGACAAACATTTTACTGCTGTGTAGATTAGATTGTGTCAATTTTATAATGCATACTCTGGCTAATCATGTATGGAATTCCAATCTTTTGGAACAAGGGAAGAATGGTTGGGGCTCCAAATCAATTTTGCAAGTTGATGTTTTATAAGATCAATTTTGCAATGCTGTGGGATATATATATATTTTTTTCTTAGTCCTAAGCATCATTACTTGTAACGATGATGGTTGTGACATATTTCTGCATCGCCACCACCGAATTCCTTTTCTTTCCTTTGGAGGAAAATAGACATCACCAATGATTCATAGTATGCCATATGATCATCTCGTATGCTTTGTATAGTCATGCACTGTCACGACTCGAGTTAGATCTCTCATGGAGACATTGTAATAGTTGGAAGTAGCTGAGACATTTCATATGGTTATGTAAAATATTTATATGTGGAAGACTGTGTCCAATGTAAAAGTAGATTCTGGATTTTATTTTTCTCTTTTTGACACGATGGACGTTAGGCCAGTGGACGCATATCATAAGTTTTCTTTGTTTAAATCTTCTATTAAGATATTGTTTATTTTTTTTTATAGCAAAGGAAGAATTTGAGTCCAAAATCTTTACTAGCTAAGTTTAACAAGTACATATGGTGTGATAGATATTCTTTTAAATTTCTTTTGGATGTTGGGACATAAGACCTCTCAAAACTAAGCGATTCCACGTAACTGCTCTTACGAAATAAGGAGATTATTAATATAATTATTTAGCTTTCCAAACCCATTTGAATCCTTTTTTACTTCCTAATGCTAACTTAAAAAACATTAACAAAAATAATTTTTATGATTTTTAACACTTGAGACCCTTTCCGAAGATGATGATGACTCCAACTGAAAAGCATACACAGAGTGATTTTGGTAAAGGGGGGGGCCATTTTGAAGGAGCAGTAGATTCTGCGGTTGAAGTTTGGTTAACAATAACTTCGTTTTACAATAAATAACACAAATTACCCAAGTCATGAATTCAATTGAACCGACGGCCAGCATCAAAAGTAAGTGGGTTATTATTATTATTATTATTAATTACATATTATTTATTATTATTAATTATCTTTAATATCACGATCCTATATTTTAAAAAATTATAGGTATCTTTTATAATTATGAAAATAAATATTATTTAGATTCATTTATCCTAATATCATTAATTTTATCAATAAAAATATAAAATATAACAAATAATCTTAACATTCCAGTTAAGAGAATCACGAGTGTGGATAAGGAGAGTGATGGATAAAGGACTGGTTTGTAGTTAGTGCAATAGTCCCTCTATTGGTACAATGAAGCGAGAGCAGTTAGTGTTCGGAAGATTCTTCCACCACCACCGATGAAAGATGCGTCCATAGAACCTCATATCTGTACTGTTTGGAAGCATTATTTTCGGTATCACGTCGAAGAACTTGTTGTCATTAATCCATTCGCCGGTCAGGCATTACCAAAGCCTGTAAAAGCAATTTATAAAAGGAAAAATAAAATTTATTTATTTATTTATTTAGGATACACAGTTTCTTTATTCGGTGGCGCCACGGAAATTAGAGACGGCGAGAGAGGACTGACGCCACCTATGGCCGCAAACCGACCGCGCCTCCCGCATTGGCCGAGTCGGCGACGAGCGACTTGTAGATCTCGACGAGCACCTTCTCGTCGTACTCCCTGAGCGGCTCCCGCGCGAACCCGGCCGCCCCGGCCCCGCCCCCGCCCCCGCCGTAGGTGACGCCGAGTGGGGTCGCCCTGGCGAAGCGGAGCATCATCCGCACGTAGGCGTCGCGGATCTGGGGGAGGATCCGCTGGGGAGACGTCGCACGGAGGAACCCCAGCCGCGGCGATATCTTGAGCCGCCAAAACCGGCGGCGATGCCCGCCCCCGCCGAGCTCCGCGCGGCACAGGCGCCGTCGCCCCTCGTCTCCGCCGCCGCGGTGCTCGGGCCGCTTCCAGTACTCCTTCAGCCCGCCCTTGTCCGACTTCATCAGCGCCGCTCCCCTCGAACCACCGATCCCTCCTTCCACCGCTTTTCTTTCACGGGAAGGAGATGAGGAGAAGGCATTTAAATAGGCCGGTTGTGGTCACCTCAAGCGGTTTTGCCGTGCGGTTGCGTGACCTTCATTTAATGGGTTGCGGTTTCGGTTTCGGTTTCGGTTTCGGGTGCGGTGAACGACACATCACGATGTTTTTTTTCGTAATATTAATAATGATTTAATAGATAATTTGAATTTTATTGATTAATAATAAAGATAAATCTGATTTTAATTATCATATCTATTAATGATAAAAGTTATGAGTCTCGATGAGCGTGTAATGGATATAATGGATGGATGTTAATTCTGAATTAATAAAAAATATATTTTATATCATTATAAACTTATAATCCTGATCCTCTATCATAATATGATATTTTTATCAATAATGTATATCAAAGTAAATGGGTAAAAAAAATCAAAATTTTAAACGAAAGGAGTTCGCATATATGATTGTCGTAGATTGGCCTTGCGAATCATAACTATAGAGGAGCAGGGACAAGTCTTAATGACGATGGCCTTGTAGATCTAATAACAGAGAAACTTCTTTAACCTAAATTATTGATGGACATTGATATGGGTGTGGACGATATAATTATGGGAGCGTGATCGAATGAGGGGTGACAATGGGGTGGGTGGACTTCTAAGAAAGATAGTAATGAAGATGAGAGAGATTTGGGCTTAAGTTAGCGGGTTGAACATGAAAAATATGTCGAGAATAAGAGATTATGAATAAGTTAAATATGTCAAATAAATTAGACGTGTCATATCAATATCTAGAGATCTTAACTTTATCATGTATGTAAGTACTGCTATTGCTTGACTAGCATAATGATTTTGGAATTTCAAATTATATTAGGATCTTGA